TAAGTACTAACTAATACTACACTCTTCCAAAGGGAGAGTGTATAGTATGTTTTTAGCTAACTGGTCGCTTAAACACACACACACACACACACACACACAATGGGGGGGGTCGATTTGGTTTTCTGAAATAAACTAACTACAGGTAACTAAAACTAAAAGCAAGTAATCAAAATAGAGAACTAAAAGCAACTACACCAAAGATAAGAAGCAAACACTTGAAAACTCAAACACTTTTGTAATTACAAAAAGGTGTTTTGGTGTTTTGGTTTGGTTTGTGAATTTATGAACCTATAAGTTGTGATCTTTAAGCTCCAGATATCACAACCATTAGGCATGTGTTAATATAAACCTGGTATCTCTCGAATATAAACCTGGTATCTATAAGTTGGTGTTTAAGCTCTAACATTAGGCATGTGTTAATATAAACCTGGTATCTCTCGAATCATCTATATCTCCAGATATCACAACCATTTATGACATATATCAAAATTAGATTTCAGATTTGATATTTTGAGATGAATGGAGTTTTGATATCTCCCGGATTGGATTTATGCGACATCAATCACTCCGCCACCAGCATCTTCCAACTTTGTCCCCTCGTCACAACTATCATTTCAGATCTATTCAAGCTTTTTTATTTCATTATATTTTACAGATTTCTGAATGTATATTATATCTCGACTATAAAAACCTTTCATGGGCTACGACCACAAGCTTAGCTTTTGGTTGAGTTGGTTCATTGACATGGTATCGAAGCCTTAATGACTTAGAGGTTACGAGTTCGAATTTCAATCTCACCGCCACCCAGTTTTTATAAAAAAACCAATTTCTATGTTTAAGGCTCGAGCAAAAACAAATCTCACCTACACGTGAGGGGCGTGCTAGAGTATAAAAACCTTTCTTGAGCCACAACCACAAGCTTGACTTTTTGGTTGAGTTGGTTCATTGACAATATCAACTTTTCAAAACTCACCAAACACGTCCAAAAAAGTTAGGGGTTTTACACTTTTTCACTTGTGTTATTAAGGATGAATTTGGAATTGAACTTGGTAATTAAAGAGGGAAAAAACAGTTTTGGACCCTCAAGTGTCAACAAAATCGCTTTCGGTCCCTCAACTATCAAATTTATCAATTTCGGTCCTCAAGCGTGAATCAGAATCAACTTTGGTCCTGAAGTATCAATTTTGGTCCTCATGCAACAAGTTAGTGAGTTAGTCAATTTTGGTCTCTGCACTATCCCTAATTAATCAGTTTTTGCCATATGATTTATATTCCATTTGTTCTAAAATTTGCTACTGATCTTTTTTGAAAAGACAATTCCAAATTCTCAATAAAACACAATCACACAACAAACAACAATTCAACTTTCTGTCTAAGCTTGTCAAGTTAATTAAGAAAGTGAATCTTTGGAAGGAGAACATAGAATAGACTCAAAGGAAAAGAAATATTTTCTCAAAAAAAGTGGGCTGATTTATTGTTTGCCAAAATAGTGTGCTGAAAATTATTTTTTACTCTTGACTTGATTTTATTATATATTGGACATATTTTTTTCATTGTGGAGGAGTATATGCTAGCATTTAACTTGACTTTGATATGTTTCCTATTGTATTATTGCTCTTTATATCACTTACGCTCTCTCTAGCTCTCACGATACATTTCCTATTGTATCTTATCTTCCCTAAACTAGTATTCCCTCCACAACATTAACCAACACATTTAAGTCCTACGAAGTGGGATCTGGGGGTGGGCATATGATCTTACCCTCACCTCCCTCTGCTCCAAAATAAAAAATAACACTTTTTTTAAATCTCCCAAAATAAAGTTAGTAGTTTTCTTATTTTTGTATTAAGGAAAAATGTACTTGACTCCCAACAAATCTCTTTCTTTTAAACAAAAGAAATTCAATCGTACACTTTCAACACTTTCTTTAAACTCTATGAAGTCAATGTGTTCCTTTTAATATGGGACGGATTGAGTATATTACATAATCTCTTCTCGTGCTCAACCCGCCTCAATGTGTTCTTCCCATGCAGATTATTATGATTATAAATAAACTTCCACGAGGACAATCCTTCTTGAAAGAAATTTTCTACTCCATACATTTATTAGTAGAGATAGTGGAAAAATTAAATCACTGAAAACTACTTGCTCATGTACAAAGTGATAATCAACAGCTACATGTTTTGATTTTTTGCCATAAATGATTGAACATGATTAGCTGTCAAGTCATCATATATGTTGCACTAACATTAGTAGTTTATCACCATAAGTGTGTAGGTATGGTGCACACGGTACACTTCAATCTCAGCATCATCAGGAAGGATATGATGTGTATGTTTAGCCTCAACAACAGTACGATATTTAGCTACTGCTGAGTACTTCCTTACTTCCTCTGTCCAAAAAATTTCTTTTCATTCAACTTTTCACAGTTTCCAATGCGTCACTTTGATCATTAATATTTATATATAAACATATTTTATAAAATTATGATATTTCAAAATGAATATATTGATTTTAAATTTATATAACAACACATTGTATTTTTTCAGCATATGGTGCTCAAAGTTTAACCATGTTTGATAGTTTTGTACAAACAAAGTGATTGTTTGTTAGCTGGTGTTCTGGTGTTTTAACTTAAAGTTTTCTTTTCCATCACATGCCAAACTAGGGTATCAATCCGGCAGTTCTTGAGTCATTTGTACTATAGGGGCCAGTAGCATAAATGATTGTCAAGCTTTCTCGTTTCTGTTTTACAGCATTGGTATTTTTATATATTCTCTGGTTCATGTATTGTGAAGGATCAAGCTGCGCAGTCAGCTTACACTTCTAACCACTTAGTGCCACCTGTCATTTCTAACTAATTTCCCTTGTTTTTTGGACTTTCTGTTTGATTAGTTATGGTAGTTTATATAGCTAGTTTCTTCCTCCCCGTTAGGGCAGATTTTCGGAGACACATTTGAGCTTCAGTTTAATGGAATTTTCCTGCGTTTGTTTTACAATTTCATCTTCTCCAATGAAATTTAACATGGTATCAGAGCCTATCTTCAATGGCGTCTAGATTTCCGATTCTTCTAACGGCTTGAAATCATATTCTGTTCTTCTGCAATTGTTCGAGATATTCATGGCGACAGAGAATTCTTCCTCGCATATCCCAATCGACATACAAAGTGAATTGTACCTGCATCCCACTGATTCACCAAATTTTTCGCTGGCATCACAGAAATTGAACGGCGAAAACTTTCCGCAATGGAAAAGATCTGCTGAAATTGCGTTGAGAGCCAGAAACAAGTTAGGTTTTGTTGATGGAAGCTCGAAATCACCAAATGTCTCTTCTCCTAACTTCGCACAATGGAATCGTTGCAACAATCTGGTAATATCCTGGAATCTACACTCTGTTGAATCTGGAATTGCGAATAGTGTGTTATACTGTGAATCTGCCAAGGAAATATGGGAGGATCTTGATGATCGCTTTGGTCAAAGCAATGCACCAAAGCTATTTCAGCTGCACAAGGAAATAGTGACTCTGGTTCAAGGTTCTGATTCTGTCTCTGAATATTTCACCAAACTGAAAGGACTTTGGGACACATACTTAACGATGATAGTTCTACCACATTGCAAGTGTGAAGGAGCTGGAAATTACATTAAACTGCTTCAGAATCAACAATTAATGCAATTTCTAATGGGACTTAATGATAGCTTCAAAACTGCTAGAGGTAATATCATTATGATGAAGCCCCTTCCTACTTTGAGCCAAGCATACAAACTGATTGCTCAAGAAGAAACTCAAAGGGATTGCAGCAGCTCTAGTCCATTGAGCAGTGAGTCCAGTGCTTTGGCTTCCTTGAATCATGTTTCTGTTGGCTCTAACAAACCTGTGTTTGGAATTACTCCTAGTGGAAGGAAGTCCAAATACTTCTGTCAACATTGCAAAATCTATGGTCATTCAGTTGAAAGGTG